TAATATATCGCCGAAATTAATTTAGAAATTCCACCTGCTGTAAGTGAAGTGATGTTGGTAAGTATCTGTCTACACGTGCATATACTAACAGTATTTACAAAACACTAATTGTATTTGTAATGGTTTCTATTACTATATTGTTTGTCCTTGAGACTTTTGTACAGAGGGAGCTGAAGGAAAGGCCACTCACCGTTTTTCTTCATATTTCTCGTTTTAATGATTCATTCATACTGGCTAACTATATGAAGATCTCCGCCGCACACATGCCGCATTACTTGACACATGAAAATAGGTGAATTATTATGAACGAATTCCTTTATTTGTAATCTTGTAGATAAAAGATATCGGTTTTGATTAAGGTGAAATGGAATGTTTATGACACTAGGTCATATTTGATAATACATATTGACCTCGTTAACGCGTTATTATGATTTTTTATTGTTATGTTTTTCACAAGTGAAATTATTGTTTACCCTAACTATTTAATACTATTTTCAGACAAAATTACCTCAGTTAACAACATAGTAATATTTGTTCGAGTTATTTTGAGTTATCTTTAATTTAATGCTTACTGTTTATTTTGACACCACCGTGACATCAATGAAGATTAAATTTTCTTAAAACATTAAATGCCGTTATAAATCATGTACATTGAAACAGAAATGAACAAAACTGAATTTGCTTATCTTCACATAACGTCTTAAATATATAGCATTGAGCATTTAGTAACTGAGAATGCAGATTTTAATCAATCAGTCGGTGAAGTTTTTACTAAGTGTTAAATGAGACCCCCTATATACTTTTATATGTTTTAATTGATCTGTTAATCTTTACAAATGTATTTAATTTTTTATATTCCGATGCGATTTTGGCAAGCTCTTCGATTTTTCCTAAATTTTTTTAGCAATGAAAATCCTATTGATATTTTCGTATGTACCTTTACGTGGTTAAAAAATAGTCAAATAAAATAGAATAACTTGTCAACGTCCTAACATAATTTTACACGTAAAATATGCTTGTAAAGGCAGCAGTAATAGTTATGACATCTAGAAGTATGTACGTCACAAATAAAATTCTAAGTTATTAGCCCTTCAATCATGCACATTTTTATTACATTTTCAATTTTTGTTCGTTGTAGACTATACTTATAATAAATTTTGATGGCTCATAGATCTAATGTCAATATTGTTAACTTCAATTTATAACGGTGTTCGTACTATTGCGGCAAACTTATCTATATCTATTTTTCGAGACTTCACTTCCTCCTTGATAAGAATGTGACAGAAGCTGCTTAAATACCGGTAACATTGCCTTATTTCGATTTACAAAGCCTTTCACCAAGCTGTGCATTTTCTTCTCTTCTGTTGATTGAACAATTTGTTGTTTTACTATTATTAACAAGATTTTAAGGATAAATTTAATATCTCCAGTGAATTAGAAAAGAAAGCGTGGAAACACAAGTTAGTTTGTTCCTTAACTGCACGAAATTGGAATTATGAGGTAAATTACCAGCAAAAAGTGGGTACATATGGTATACTAAACAAAATTGCAATTTTAAAGCTTGTTTCCTAGTTTGTGAAAGAGTGAAATGTAAACATTCCTTTTAAATCTAGCAGGTCTGGTAGTGAAAAGCTTCTTACTTTGTAAAGGAATACAAGTCTAAAGATATCATATTTAGTCTATGAATATAGAACAAAAAAATTGGTCGAAGTTTATTTCGATAAAACTTCTCTCGCCCCTTAAATGCAATCGGACAATCCAGTTTTTTCAAAAAATTATAAAATTTAAGCTTGCAAAATTTTATATAATTTATCAAAAACCCTATAAGTAAAAAAATGGATACTACCAATCACAGCGTGAAGAAAAGCATTCGATAAAATTGTATCCGAACCCACACGGTCAGAGCACAAATTTGATAATTTGGCACTTATGAGGGAGATACCAGAAGTGCAGAGTGTATTGCACAAAAAAAATAATTGAAAAGTAATGGTAACAAAAATCAAAGCGGATTCATAAACCACGAGTACAGGTGTACTAGGGAAAATAATGAGGAGACGTCATCAAATTGTTGGCGGAGATGATAAACAAATTTTGATAAGCGTTTTACTATCTATACGATATTCCTAAATTACATATAAAATCTGACAATTGCTCCAATAGTTTCGAAGATTATTATTAATATTTGTCTAATAGAAACCGGCACAGAAGACGATAGACAGACGGAAACGGAAGACCTATTTTATCAAATTCTAATTTTGGATTTTTATTCCTGGCAAAATATTTATTAATTAATTTGAAAGAGAGATAATTGCAATAAAATTCGGTTGCTCTGGTAAAGAGTCACCTGATTTAAAAGAAGGGGTACGCTACTTTATTAAACAGGACTTGAGTTGTCAGAGATCACGTTTGTCCAATAAAAAGAGAACAGTATTTTCGCACATCGAATAACATGCAGTTCAAAAATTAACTGACTGTTTTGATTATAAATATCGTTTTATTGCCACATTTTATTTATGTCGTAATCACATCTCATCTACATTCAATAATTGTGTTAATAATGTATAACCCGCAGTCGAATGTTTGCTGATCAAGGTATTGGAGAAGAGAGTATGTAACAAAATGTTAAATTAATGACTAGATAAAGATAGAAAAAATTGTTATTTCTAATAACTCTTATATTACTTACAGTGCAGTCCAGGTTTTGTGCGTGTGTAGACTTAGAATGTTTGAGGAGTTGGATTCAAGTAATCCTACAGAATCTTGAGAGTAGATTGGTTGAATAACCAATTCAGTTTAATTCAGTTCTGTTGTTATTATAACGTTTTCGAGTTCGATTTTTCAGTGTAGGTTTAAACGAACTACTACTGTTAAATATTTTCAGTAACAAGGTTAACATAGAAGTAGTTTTATTTATGGTAAAATTTTTAGCGTTTTACAGAGGAGAGTTTAGATTTGCTCTTACGTGTTAAATTTTTTCAAAGACTGGGGCTCATTGAACTGTTCGGTGCGCTTGAATTTTTTTTATTATTTGGTCACTTGGAATTTGTGTCTGGCAAAGTTAATTATAGTTATCCACCATTGAAAATAAAATTTATTAGCGAATTTCTAACAAAATGTTGGCACAGTGAAAATTGACAATACTGAATGATGTTCAAAAACCACTACATGGATTTTCAAAATCATTTTCATGATATTTTCCTCTGTCTTTAGTGAACTTTGTTTAAAATATTCCTTAATTATTTACTATAGCATGAGTTTAGCAACTTCTGTTGATTTAGAGTTTCAATTTTTTGTGCGTATGATGAAAATTTAGTTCAGAAGTCTCGAAATATATAAAAACACTAACAACTACTACAACTAATGCCAAACTTTAAAAATGCAGTAAATTACACTTGAATAATTCAGTCCAGTTTACAGGACTGAAAAATGTATATTCGATGACACTAGTTTTAAGGTAGGTTTCATATTAAAATATTGAACCAGAACTACAGGATATACTAAAAACCAAATCTAATTAATATGTTATAGTGTAATAAATTAATAGCTTCCTTTGACAAAGACATACGGTTATTGTTTGGAAAACACCGTTTCATTGTATCGAATTATTCAATACTTGTACCATTTCCAATAATTATTAAATATTTATGTGCAAAATTATTTAATCGTATCATGGGATATTAAATTTTGGTCCTGTTATTGTTAATTTCGGTCTCATAAAACATTCATGAATTCTTTCCTTGGAAAATACTTTAAACTGCACAATAAATTCCACCATCGATTACTTTTGAATGAATCCACTTAAAGCTTTTGCAGATAATATTCCATCCAAAAAGGCTCATTTGTCAAATTTGTTCGAAGTGTTACTGTGAAATAAAACTTAGGAGTCTAGTGATTATTAAGTACAACACATTTTGTTAGCAAGGAAATGTACTCTCTAATATTTGGTCAAGTTTTTTGAGATTGAATTATGATATTATATGAATGTTTATACATTTCATTAAAAAATTAGTAAAGACAATGTATTGTGGTGCAAGCAATTTAAGCATAAAAAATTAATTTGTTCTAAGAGCTGATACTTAATCAAGTGCTTTAGATATTTCCATAAAGAGGAAAATGTCTTAACAGAAGCAGAAAGTCGCGCTAAGCAAATATTTGGTATGAATACTATTAATAGTAATAAGTGGTGTTTTGTTTTATTCAATTCAGTGCGTAACAAGGTAAAGAAGTTGAAATAACTAGTTCAACTAAAATGATTTTATTGAAATACTTAAATCTGGCATGTAAACGCAAATGCATTAAACTGATTTCCTGACAAAAAACTTTAACAAACGATAACAAACTGACCAGGTCGTATTTTCCTCCGACTTTAAACAGTCAATGAACTTTAAAATGAAAGGTACAAATAAACACAATTTGAAGACTTCGTTCAGCTTTCACATCTTGAATTTTTATGTACATTTTCTTGTATATTCCAATGATTTTTAGTGCTTCGTGAAATGGATTCACATTTAAAAATTTCAGTTTGATTGTTTCGATTTCCTAAACGGTGAAGCGGAGATTCAGAATTATTATTAAATTTCAGGGCTCATTTTATCTTATTCAGGCAAGAGAATAATCCCCAAAAACGCTGATATTTGTACCTCTCACAAATCGAATTTGAAGCGATAATACGAATTAGTATCAACACAGCCGATAATCTTCTTATCTTTGTTTAAACTATTTACGATGTCTAAAACAATTGGATCTTTAGATAGGCAATTAATAGCTCAAAACAAACACTTGTAGTTTTCTGTATCTTTTGGTTTCATTTTGCTTGAACATGTGATTGTTATTTTATCGACAGTATAGTGACGGGAAGATCCAACATGATAACGTTAATTAAAATTTCCAAATATAAAGTTTTTATTGTTAAATTTTAGATATACGTACGTAAGTAAGTTAAAATAGATGTAGTAGTTGCAATCTTAACCAGAGATTTATTTGATTTCAAATCCACTTACCACTGCTGGTGATCATCCAAAATATTATCGGTATCATAACTATGATAGACTAACACTTTGCACTTACTACACACTTTGCTTGTTTAACAATGTTTGCTTTATCACATGTTTGTAGAACACATGAACGTGTATGAATTCGCAGATAGACTAAATGTTTTAATAACGGCGGCGCAAAAATAAAGAGGAACAAGACACGATGAACGTATAAACACATTCTAAGGACATGCTACAATAAGTCTTAAATGCAACAGATATCTGGCTTCCTCGTTAATGCTTAAAGAGCATGAAGAACTTTCTAAGCCAACGCTATTTTCTTTCACGTATATTAAAATGATTCGCATAAATATTCATAAAAACTTGACCTAAATGGTATTAGCCACAATAAGCAATTATGTATGGCGTACATTTTATCGAAAATTAGCAATTAAAAAAGACCGATAGCTATTGCTGCGGCGGCGAAAGCGTAAAGAAAATTTTTAGTGGAAACTTTTAATTGCAGTTTTGATCTACGACGTGCGTCGCTATAATAATTATCCTACCTTTCAATTATGCGATAATGATCGTTATTTAATCTTTTGCATAATCAAAAAAATCTACAATAGAAAATTACGGAGTCAGTTATTCCGATGATGTGCGTGACATCGGTAATAGAAATTTCTTCACGATACTTTCTTTTGATGCTTTGCAGTTACGGAGGGTTGGCCGTATTTAGAAAAACGTTATTAGCAAAGCAATCAACGAGACGAAATTGGGTTAACGAATGCGATGGCCAATTATAAAAAAAACGAACAAAAATGATGCAACTTTGTCAATTGAATTTAGCGCTTTAGTTAATTACAATCTTAAAAGCACTTTGATGTAGAGCTTCTAAATACATCAAGCAATTTCTTTTTCACTTAATTAAGGTTCAGAAAAGAAAGCTGATGAAATACACACCCAACCGAAATTGCTAAAGCGATTTTCCTTTATTGAAATTCAACAGTCTTTAAATTCGGTGCCGTTTTTTATCCGAGTGCTTTGTTGTAGTGGAGTAAGACGTTAAAACTCACAAAATTTTGGCACAGAGGAAGAGCTGAAGTATTACACAGTTTTGCTAAAACGAGTTTCATTTGAAGATTATTGTTCTGTTTTATCCATTTGAGAATATGATTTTCTGTATTTTGTATTTAAAACATGCTTGACATTTTCTAAATTATTATTTTATTTAGTATCTGTTACTTCTTTAAACAAAATATTCCTACAGCTATTTAGTTTTCAATCAACTTTGAATTTGAGATAATACAACAGTAGGAATTTTAGTATTATGTAGTCCGAGCCCATTTTAATTTTTTTATTTTTTCTTGTTTATTCAAGATGATTAATAGTTAGCATTACTTCTGTGGAATATTGTTTAGTTTTTGTAAATGAGATACGTTATACGTTTTACATAAATTCAGCTTCCCTTGCTTTGTTTTTGCATGTCATATAATGTGAGCAAATGTTTGCAACCAATTATACACACAAAAATATGATATAACAGATTTATAAAAAATGTTTACATTTTATGTTCACATTTCAAGAACCTATGCTGTAAACTGGATGTAACTCCATCTAGTAGAGATACGTAACTTTTTTTAATTATTCTTATAATTCAAATGTTCCTGAAGAGTATCAGTTTTCTACAGTTTGTGAAATACCATCTACAGGGCTATTTTTCACCTCTAAAACAAAATGAATATCGCTTGTATATTAGAGTGTGTATTTCAGGAAAGATTTGTTTAATCATGTCTTTAAAAAAAGAGAAAATATCAATTTTATATATAATAATATATATATCTATTGTAACACAAAACATAACGCAACTTAAATAAGTTATTTTTGAAATAATTCTTTCACGTATTAATGATTTTTTGGATATAACTATTTTTAAAAGTGTTTAAAAAACCACAAGTGTAGTGATTAATTTTCAAGTGATTCGGAAAAGGGGCATGGTTTAAATATAATGTGACTTGTTCAAGTTTTCTTTGTTAAATTACATTCTTATTTCTTTTTTCCTAAACACATTTAGGATATTGAAAATGAATACAAGGTGAGTCAATAACCTCGCTACTCGATATCTCATATATTAACTATTATTAGACCGTAGAAAAGAGTCGAAGACTAAAGTTGCACGACTCCTTAAAGAGAATCCGCTAAGATTACTTTCAACTATACAGGTACTCTATTTTCGAGACGCACATACAACTTATTTTTTTTATGGATTATCCTACATATGGAGAGCTCAGAGTTCAATCAGCCTAAGTCACTTTTTTTAAATAATAAATTATTTATCAGTCTATACTCTAAATAGGCCAACGAGGGTACCTACTATCAATAGCTAAAAGCACAGTGCCAAGTCCAAGTTATCCCAGTTTCAATTTTTGGTGACTTAGCTGATTGAACTTTGAGCCCTCCATATATTTATATATTTTGATTGGTTTCATCTTAGGCTTTACAGCTATAGTTTACTCTTGAAATATCAAAGAATGTTGTCACGTTTTTCCTATTTTTCTTACATATTTCTTACGTACATTACGTAGAGTATTGTAGTAATCTAATAATGTGTATATATTTCACATAATTGATTAAAAAATATATATTAAGATAAACGTGAATAAATCATCAAAAGAACGTTTCCGCAAACATAAACTCGAAAGTCGTATAATATACAGCGTGCTCCATTTGAATAATAAAGAAAGTCAACAATTTACAACTTTAGTCACTCTGTTTAAATAACTAAAACACTTCTCAGTTTTTTCAAACATTTCTCATGGCTAGGTTAGTAAAAGTCTTCTACAAAATTTCCGACGTCTACCTGTAAATATGTTTAAAACGGCTGATAAAACAAACCTTTGTCTCAATAATATTTTCTCTTTAGAAAAGTTAAACGAGGCAGAAAAAGGTTGTATAAAAGGATAAAGGATGTATAATAATAAATAAGACCACAAATTCACACTCGAAGAAATTGTAGATAAGGTTAAATGTTAAGTTCATTCTTTCACGGAAACTAAAAAAAATATGTTACGAGAGTTTTTAAGAAAACAAGAAATCACCTATATTATTTTATTGGAAACGCAAACAGTTTTTATAGAAATATCATGAACTGAATAACACTTGGCACACTACTACGTATTTAGTTCAACAATTTAAAACAACCAATAGATGACAATGTGGAATTATTACGGTCGATACTACTCACAGTTCTAACTATGTGGTCAAGGAGTGTAAAGTAAAAACCAAGAAACTGTGTGTTAGACAGAGAAACTTAGATCCAGTTGTAAGACTGGCTAGCAGGAAAAAAATGTAGGTATACAGGGTGAGTCACTATGAGCGCGGTCCTCGATATCTTGTTAATTAATTATTAGAGGTAATCAAAGGTGAGTTCTGCTGTTCCTTGAGGATTAGACTCTAAAGTCACTTTTAATTATACAGAGTGCTAGGGCTTAACACACAACTTAAATTTTTGTAATGCAACACCCTGTACATTTTTGGATATTTTCATTAGCCTCTTCCTAGACTTTATAAGAACAGTTTATTTTTACAACTTCAATGCGACGTGGCCACATTATTTCAATTTTCCTAAAATTTTTTGGCAGTGGAAATGTTCGCAAAAAAATTGTTGATTTTTTTAAAACTGTGTTACAATATTTTGTGGAAGGATGAACTAAAAGGCACGCTTTGTTGTGGTGTCAATTAAATCAAATTGTAATGCAGAGTGTTCATAAAAAAATCTAAAATTTCCAATATTGATAATTCAGTTTTTTCAAATAAAACACTCTAATTTATAATTGTATCTTACTCTATTTTTTGTTCTCATTATTTTAATATGTTGATGTCTTTTTTATGTCTGTTTGCACTGCCCTTTTAATCACCTAATTAACGGTACATTTTACGTTAATCAGGTGATTAAAAATGCGATACAAACGAGAATTAAAAAAGTAAAAAATCGCAGTACTATCAACTTTAAATACAAAAAATACTTAACAAAAAGAAAAGAGAACAAAAAATAGTATAGGATGCACTAATAAAACAGGATGTTCTACTAGAAAAGGCTGAAATATCGACATTTGAAAATTGTGATAATAATTTTTTTTATAAACACTCTGTATAACAGACCGTCTACGTTCATTTGTCTCTCCACAAAATATTGTAAAACAGATTTCAAAGTTAACCTAATGCGATTTTTTTGTGAACCGTTCTAATGTTAGAAAATTTCAAGAAAATTGAAATAACGTGACATCACATCGAAATTTAAAAAATCAACTGTGGTGGTAAAACCTAAAAGGGGGTCAATCAAAATATCTAAAATATATAGTTCGTTCATTAAAAAAACACAAAGTTCTGTGTTGCACCTTAAAAACATAACACTGCTATGCATAGTTAAAAGTAATTTTAGAATGTAATCCTTTAAGAATCGTACAGCTTTGGTCTTTTTTCTGTTTCTTATAATTAATATATAGAGGAATGCCTCTAGCGACTCAGCTTATACATTTGTAATATTAGACTATGAAACGATATTTAGAAAAAATACCACTTAAAAATTAACACGACGAAGAAATAAAACAATGCAAACTATATAAAAAGAGAAAAAATAAACATAACAACGGTAACAAAAATTAAAGGGTATTAAATAATGAAGACCAATACGAGTATCAAAATGACAAAAGTCATACAAATCTTAGAATATTTTATTAGAAAATTACAGAAGTCAACAGTCAACGCTGGCACACTGACAATACACATTATTTTACATATTCTGAGACAACTGATAGTTTTTGCTTATTTTCAGTGGAATGTTCACTGTTCATAGTGTGTAAACGTACGAAGATGTGTTGCAGAATGTGTGAACAAGGACACGGAAGACCTCCTGAAACAATCACCAATGACAAAGACCGACATATGCCTCCAGAGAAGTAAATTTTTAAAAAGAAGTGATAATTTTTATAATATTGTCAAATTTGTGTAGTCAAGTTTATTGTATGTTTAATTTGAATGTAATTACTATGAGAAATTTTCTAAAAAGTGGTACCATATCCAGTTTATGAATATTAAGATCGGCCGATGTAATCTTAGATATAGCATTTAATGCAACGAATCGAAAAGTATACAAAAATACAAATTTTCTCGTTTCGTATGTGTGCGCTTTCTGTTTTAGCGCTTTTGTTAGACATGTACCGTTATGGTGACAATGGTTGAAATTTGTCAGTGTGTGTTCATGCTTTCTAAAATACTGGAAAGGTCTTTTCCTAAGAAGTGTTTCTTCAAATACATATTACAGAGTACAACATGCTACTTCTAGTATAATAATCTGTTTTTTTTATTACTACCTAAATATGGATTATCAGCAGTTATTACAAAACGTAATGACAACAATAAATATATGCGTAAAGAAACGAAATTACTCTAATAAAATTGTGCAATATATTTATGAAACTGATTAATAGACTTTTGTGGTAGCTCAGCGGTTTATTGATAATAAGCAAACAATACAAAGCAAAATATGGGTATGGGTTATCGAAGTGGTGGCAATTCTCGTCGGGGATGGTGGCGGCTCCTGGGACTCAGAGCGTCGTAGGGGATGACGGCGGCGATGTATGTAGCACAGGGCACCTGGACAGTGCGACCCTGGAGATGACGACGTCGGCGGTGCGGCACAGGAGACCTAGAGAATGCGACCCTGGAGATGACGACGTCGGCGATGCGGCACAGGGGACCTAGAGAGTGCGACCCTGGAGATGACGACGTCGGCGATACGGCACAGGGGACCTAGAGAGTGCGACCCTGGAGATGACGACGTCAGCGATACGGCACAGGGGACCTAGAGAGTGCGACCCTGGAGATGACGACGTCGGCGATGCGGCACAGGGGACCTAGACAGTGCGACCCTGGAGATGACGTCGTAGAAGCGGCGCAGGGGGACCGTAAAACAGTGCAGCCCTGGTGAAGATCTCGAAGCGGCGCAGGGGACCGTAAAACAGTGCAGCCCTGGTGAAGATCTCGAAGCAGCGCAGGGGACCGTAACACAGTGCAGCCCTGGTAATAATATCGAAGCGGCGCAGGGGACCGTAACACAGTGCAGCCCTGGTGATCACCAGAAGGGGACCGAGACAGTGCAGCCCTTAAGGTGGAGATGGTGGAGTT